AGATCCCTTATCTGGTGAGGTTTTATCAATCTTGGTACAGGTTTGGAACTCTCTTCCACAACTGGCATGCTGGATGTTTGATCAGTTGTTAATTTTAAACCTGAGAGAGAAGCATTTTTGTTAAGCAAAGGTAATTAAGGGATATGGGCCAAAGGCAGGTATACCGAGTTAGGCCACAGATCAGCCATGATCTTATTGAATGGCAGAACAGGCTTGAGGGGCTGAATGGCCACCTCCTGTTCCTAAACTTGTGCATCAAGCAACTTCGGTTTGTTTGGTGGGAACATCATCACTGAATCCTTACAGTGTGGGCACAGGCCCTTCGGCCCAACAAGTCCACACGGACCCTCAGCTCCATCCCCCTATAACTCACCTAATCTACACATCCCTGAACACTATGGGCAATTTCCCATGGCCAATACACCCTGACCTGCACATCTTTGGACTGCGGGAGGAAACCAGAGCACCTAGAAGAAACCCACACAGACATGGGGAGAACGTGCAAACTCCACACAGACAGTCGCCCAAGGGTGGGATCGAACCCAGGTCCCTGGCGCTGTGAGGCAGCAGTGCTAACCACTGAGCCATCGTGCTGTGTTCCATACTTTTACTGTGTAAGAAACCACTCAATCAATTCCTTTCAAAAACTTGAAAATCCCAATCAAATCATCCTTCAATCTTCAATGTGTCCTGTTTTGTGAATATCTGATCCCACATTTTGGGAAACTCTCCAACCTGGGGAAACAGCCTCTTCACATCTAACCTCTCATCCTCTTGAGCCTTGAGAGATATCACAGTGTGGACCATTCCCCAGCGATGGTTCCCCAGTGTTTGATGTATGAGGAGGGACAGTGAGTGGCAGAAGGTCATTCTACCCTGAGAGCATCACAGTCAAAGTAAAATGCCATGGCTGCTCAAAGTATGAAATAAAAACAGTAAATGGTGGTGAAACTTAGCAGGTTTGGCAGCATTCTCCTGAAGTAGAGTCAGTCTGGGTGTGAAATGTGAACCCTGTTTTTTCTCTCCCCACAGATTCTGCCATACTTGCTTTATTTCTCCTGTGTTCTCTGTTTTATTACAGTCCACTCAGTCCTGGGTCACTACTGCTGGAGATCACTAATAGGGAAACATAGAAACTAGGAGGAGTAGGCCATTCAGCCCTTTGAGCCTGCTCTACTATTTACTATGATCATGGCTGATTATCCAACTCAATACCATGTTCCATCTTTCTCCCCATACTCTTTGATCCCTTTAGCCATAAGAATGATATTTAATTCCTTGAACCATTCAATATTTTGTCCTTAACCACTTTCTGTGGAAAGAATTCCACAGGCTCATCACTATCTGGGAAAGAAATTTTACCTAATCTCAGTCCTAAATGGTCTACCCTGTATCTTCAGAAAAATGAAGAAGGGTCTTGACGCGAAACGTCAGCTTTCCTGCTCCTCTGATGTTGCCTGGCCTGCTGTGTTCCTCCAGCTCCACACTGTGTTATCTGTTCCCCAATCTCCCCAACTCACTGAGTAAAACTATTTTCCTCGTAGTCACACACGGGCCATTCGATCCAACCAGTCCATGCTGACCATGTTCCCAAACCAAACTAGTCCTAACTGCCTACACTTGGCCCTTTATCCCTCCAAACATTTCTTATTCATATCCTTATCGAAATGTCTTTTAAATGTTGTAATGTACCCACATCCATCACTTCCTCTGGCAGTTCATTCCTCACACAAACCACACTCTGTATAAAAAAAAGCTGCCCCTCATATCTTGTTTAAACCTTTCTCCCCTCACCTTAAAAATATGCCCCCTAGTTTTGAAATCCCCCACCCTAGGGAAAAGATACCTACCATTAACCCTATCTATACCCTTGATGATTTTATAAACCATCATCACTCACCTCGCCTTTGTATATTTTTCTTCGTTAATTATCCTGCCCTCAGATCATCAACCCCCCCAACACCAGAAACGATTTCTCATTACTTAACTTTTCAAAAACTCTTAATGGCTGTAAACAGCTCAATTAACTCTCCCTGAACTTGCTCAGTTTAAAGGAGAGTGATCCTCGTAATGTAACACACCTAGTTCCATTCCCACTAAATCTGATTGGCTCCTGTGCAAGGCCTTGATTTCTTCTGAAAGTGTCCAGACATGGAAATAATTTTCCCATCCAGCAAACCCCTCCCAGTGTGATATTCTGGGGAATGGTGTAGTAAAACTGCTCAGGCAGGTACCTCTGTCCTTCCACTATTGTCCACCTCCCATTGTGATTGGTGACTGATTGTTGGTTATAGCGTAGAGCCGGGTAAACGGGTTGAAAGTGCAGGTCTGATTGGGTGACAGGAAGGGCTGAATGGCCGCCTCCTGTCCCAAACATGTACATAAAGATTTTCAAGTGGCGTTACTCTTTTGGTTACTCGATTCCTCGTGTTTTCTAGGGGACCAGGGAAGAAGACGACGTAGTCAGTGAGGATCTAGTGGCTGAGGATGCGAAGGTAGGTCCGGTCTTGAGCACGGATCTCCAAACTGAATGTTAGCTCATTTCCCGAGGGCTGACCGTGCCACGTGATGATCAAAGTAAGTTTGGGCCCAGTAAAAGATCTGGCTGCATTGTTGATGTGGTCCCAAAGCAGACTCATGGAGATGGCAGAGTTGAGTTATGGGCCAGTGTGGAATTGGTGGTGTCTGCATTGGCGTGTTCCAGTGAGGACTCATCGTGGCGAGGGCTTCGGTGGAGGCAAATGGTGCCGAAAAGTGAGGACTATCGTTCCAGGGTGATGGGATGGCGAAGGGGTCTCATGCCTGGCTACCAGGCCCATGGTGGGGAGACTTAACAAGAAGGACCGTAACATTGGACACTTTCTTTATGTATTTCTTCATTTTTCTGCCTTTATATTCTATGTTTTGGTTTATTTTTCTGTGGCACCAGAGAGCGATGACACTGTACAACACCTTTCACAGTATTTTGTAACAAAATACACACAATAATAAATAAATCAAATCAAAACCGCAGAGGCTGTAGCTAAGGTCTGAAGTCAGTGGGGGATGTGATGGCATACTCACTCATGTTATTTCTGAGCAAGTTGTTGAGGCAACTGAATCCCTACAATGTGGAAACTGGCCATTCAGCCCAGAAAGTCCACACTAACTCTCCAAAGTGTATCCCATCCAGACTCACCCCCCTACCCTATCCCTGTAACCTTACATTCCCCACGGCTAATCTACCTAACCTACACATCCCTGGACACTATGGGCAATTTAGCATGGCCAATCCATCCTAACCTGCACATCTTTGGACTGTGGGAGGAAACCCATGCAGACACGGGGAGAATGTGCAAACTCCACACAGACTGTTGCCCGAGGGTGGACTCAAACCCAGGTCCTTGGTGCTGAGAGACAGCAGTGCTAACCACTGAGCCACCGTGCTGCCTGAGAGGAAGTCTGGGATCAAATCCCACTGTGGCAGATGGAGGAGTTTTAATTCCAGATTTTTTTAAATTCAAAATCTGAGGGCAACTGTGAAATCATTGTAAAAACCCACCTGGTTGTCGTTGTGGGAAAGAAATCCACCATTCGCACTTGGTCTGGCCTACATGTGACTCCAGACCCACTGCGATGTGGTTGACTCTTAATTGGCCTCTGAAATCGGCCTAGCAAGCCCCTCGGTAGTGGCAGACCACTAAAAAGGACAGGCCCAACAGGCATCGTTGTACACAGGAGGGAGTTGCCCTGGGAGTCCTCAAGATTAACTCTAGACCCCCTGAGGTCTCATGGCACCAAGTCAAACATGGGCAAGGAAATTTCCAGCACAACGTACACCGGATTCCTCCAACAGTCCAAAGATGTGCAGGTTAGGTGGGTTGCGCATGGGAAATGCAGGGTTACAGGGATAGGCTAGGCGGTGGGTCTGGGTGGGATGCTCTTCAGAGGGTCAGTGTGGGCTCGATGGGCCGAATGGCCGGCTCCCATACTGTAGGGATTCTTTGGGAAAGCATTGAGGGATGTGGAGGAGAAAGGAAGAGGAGCTGAAATATAAATCCGAGCCCAAACTGATAGAATGGTGAAGCAGACCAGAGGGGCTGAATGGTCTCTTCCTAATGTTCCCCTGTTTTATTTCCACAGGAGCTGTATGAAGCTGGAGAGTTACAGTGGGGAACCACAGAGAGTTCGTTCATTACTATCCTTGGAAACCGGAGCTTTTGTCACCTTCAGCTAGGTATGGTGACTGAATGATTGAACGGTTGATAAATCAGTTCCTGGTCTCCCAATATCCCAGGGTGTTAAACAGAAGCTCCTGGTAATGCCCCAAACATGATCATATTTCTCAGCCCAATGGCTGAATCGGTGCCTCTGTGTTAGACCCCTTTATCTTACAGCTTTCCATCGATCCTGGCCCTTAGCTGTCACAGGCCAAACCACCTTAAATAATTGAGTCAGTGCCCCTGGTGGAAAGGTGGCCCCACTGATTTTCACATCATCGCCCATCTGTCTATGTGGATGCATGTGTACATGTATGTCCAAGTGGATATGTGTGTACGTGCCTGTCTGTTGTGGGAGCACATAAGCAGATGAGTGTGTGAAATTTGGTGTTTGTGGTCTGCATCGGTCTTTACAGCTGGCTTTGTGTGTGTGTGCATGCGTACATGTGTGCATGCGTACGTGTGCGTGCGTGCGTGTGTGTGTGTGTGTGTGTGTTTTGTGATGCTGCTGTGACTTTCAGAAGTTATTTTGTCCTTTCTTTTGAAGAGAGTTTACAAGGCAGAGGTACTGAGCTGCCTAGTTAAGACCACTTGAGTAAACAGCTTGGGAGGTTTTGGGTTTTTCTTAACAGCCTGAATGGGTATGGTCAGCTCTCACAGGTCAGGATTTCTGGGTTTTTAGGTTAGCTTTAAGCAGAAGCTATTGGGATCTCGACAGAGTTGGAAGCTTCAGTGAGTGGCTCTTGGCTGCTACTCTCTGAATTTTCTCCTTGATATTTTTTCCTTCTGAATTGGAGAACTGCATGTGAGAATCTGTACCTGAATTTTCCTTTTTGACAAGGGGTGTGTTTATGGGATGTTACTATATTAGAACAATTAATTAGTAATAGGTACTGTATCTATTATTCTGTTAAGTTTTCCAGTAGAGTCAAGATATTCTAAATTTCTCTTTCTTTGGTTGTATTTTAACTACAGTGTCTAAGTAAATTGTGTTTTGCTTAACATCAAGTAGTTTGACCAGTCGCTTTGCATCAGGAACAGGCACTTCACATTTGCTGCTTAAAAAAACGAAAAAGTTACGGTTTAGGCTACTTTCTTAAAATATTTTGAGGGGGTCTGGCCTGGTCCATGACTGCATAAAGACTTGTGCCTATAACTGTGTGTGTGTGTATGAGTGTTTACGTATGTGCCTGTCTGTGAGAAAGGGAGTGTGTGTGTGTCAGTGTACTGTGTGTGTGTCAGTGTACTGTGTATGTGTCTGTGAGAAAGGGAGTGTGTGTGTGTCAGTGTACTGTGTATGTGTCTGTGAGAAAGGGAGTGTGTGTGTGTCAGTGTACTGTGTATGTGTCTGTGAGAAAGGGAGTGTGTGCATGTGTGTGTTAAGTGCCTGTCTGTAAGAGACAGTGTGTGTGTGTGTGAATTTAATCACTGTCACTAACCTCACTGCTTGCAATATTCCTCAGTGTTCGATGAGTATCAGAAGATCGCTGGGAAGGAGATTGAAGAGAGTTTGAGGGGTGAACTGTCGGGTGATTTTGAGAAGCTGATGCTTGCTATGGGTAAGAATTAATGTGCTTCCTGAGGGTTGGCACACTGAAATGTTGAACTTAAAAGTAAGTACTTAAACTGTTAAACTTAAAATAAGTGGCCTTTGCTGCAAAGTGCAGGGAGAGAGCTCCTGGGGTGGTGCTGGTCTGACCGTTTCCCTCTGTCCTGTTCACATCGAAAGCTGCTCAGTTACCTGACAACAAGCGACTTTGTCATAATAAACTGGCCACTTGTCCTTAAACCAACCTTTGGCAAGCTCCATTTGTATAAGAACCCCTCACCTCCAGTTTGTCTGCAAACTAAACTTCAGTTACTGCTTGAACAGGCAGCTGAATAAACAATGCTTGAGATGATGGTCAGCTTACTTGCTTTTTAAAGCATGCAGCAATCCTTATGAAGCACTTTCAAAAAAGTTCTTCCTCATTTCAGTCCACAATTTTAAAAGGCACAGAAATAAAAAAAGGTTTCTGCTCCTTTTCATGACAAATTCCTTTTTCCTACATAAAACCGTTTCATTGGCACCGTCTATGCCAAATAAATGGCATTGCCATGATCTTGCTAACACTTTAGTTGGTTGCAATGAGAAGCATATCCTGAATGGAAAGACCACTATCCTCCTATCCTTCTGCCTACCCTGACCCATTCCTCCCTGTCTGGCCCCATTTGCTTCCTATTCAAGCTCCTACCTGTTCTACACACAGTGTGGACTTTTACACATGATGTACAGGGCCTGGATCTGTGCACGTTTCCATGTGAGATCGTATCACACGGTCACTGCAAAATTCCACTGTCACCAAATGCTACCTTTTGGCTTCACGCAGTTGGCGAGATGTAATGAATGGAGTGCCACAGGGATTAGTGCTGTGGCTACAACTGTTTCTATGTCAACGGCTTGGAGGAAGGAATCCGAACGTAGATCGCTGAAGTTGCTAGTGACGCAAGGATAGGTGGGACAGCGAGTTACAACAAGGACAGAGAACGAGCAACTTGGAAAGGCATATAGACAGGTTATGTGAAGGGGCAAAAGATGGAGAAGGTGGAGTATATCCTGGCAAAATGTGAACTTGTCTACATTGTCAGGAAGAATACAAAATCCATGTTATTGAAAAGGATAGAGATTTCAGAAGTCTGTGGAACATGGATTATATAATAGTCTGTGGGTACAGCAAGTGGTTCGGAAGTTAAATGGAATGTTGAGATTTATTGCAAGGGGAATGGGATCTAAAGGTTTTTGCAACAGTTGAACAAGACATTGGTGAGAGCACATTTTATTGAAACACGTAAGATCCTTATAACTAGGGTGGAGTTGCAGGTAGAGAGGATAGTAAGAAGGTGTTTCGTACACTTGCCTTTATTGGTCAGTGCATTGAGTATAGGAGTTGGGAGGGTCATGTTGCAGCTGTACAGGACATTGGTTAGGCCACTTTAGGAATGCTGCGTGCAATTCTGGTCTCCCTGCTATGGGAAAGATGTTGTTAAACTTGAAAGTGTTAAGAAAAGATTTACAAGCATGTTGCTGGGGTTGGAGGGTTTGAGCTATAGAGAGAAGGTGAATAGGCTGGGGCTATTTTCCCTGGAATATTGGAGACTGAGGGCTGACCATGTAGAGGTTTATATAGTCATGAGGGGAATGGATAGGGTGAATAGTCAAGGTCATTTTCCCAGGGTAGGGGAGTCCAAACTGGAGGGCATAGGTTTAAGGAGAAAGGGGAAAGATTTAAAATGGGGACCTAAGGGGCAACTTTTTCATACAGAGGGCGGTGCGTGTATGGAATGAGCTGCCAGAGGAAGTGGTGGAGGCTGGTACAATTACAACATTTAAAAGGCATCTGGATGGGTATATGAATAGGAAGGGTTTAGAGGGATATGGGCCATATGCTGATAAATGAGACTGGATTAATTTAGGATATCTGGTAGGTGTGGACAAGTTGGACCGACGGGTCTGTTTCTGTGCTGTGTAACTCTGATTCTATGACACGGTTTAAAAATAAGGAGTCTCCCACTTCAAATGGAGATGAGGAGAATTTTTTTTTCTCTTTGAAGGGTCAGTAGTCTGTGGAACTCCATTCAGTAGAGGCTGGGACATTGAACATTTTGAAGATGGAGTTTGACTCCATTAACATCAAGAATCATAGGATCTGAAGAGGGATATATAGGCCATAATCGCATCAACATCAATCTTATTGAATGATGAAGCAGGATTGAGGGCTGAATGGCCTGCTCCTGACTCCTAATTTATATGTACATAGATACTGAGTGCTGGGAGGCGGCTCCAATCTCAGTCATTCACTGACCCTCCAGGCAGGAGCTGTTCAAGGACAGGAACAGGGATGTCTTGCTGCAATTGTACGGGGCCTTGGTGAGACCACACATGGAGTATTGTGTACAGTTTCACTCTCCATATCTCAGGAAAGATGTTCTGGCTATAGAGAGTGTCCAATGAATACTGGTTCCTGGCATGGTGGGACTGATGTATGAAGAGAGACTGGATCAGTTAGGATTGTATTCACTGGAGTTGAGAAGAATGAGGGGTGATTTCACAGAAATCTATAAAGTTTGAAAAGGAGTAGACGGGGTAGATGCAGGAAGGATGATCCCAATGACCAGGGAGTCCAGAACCAGAGGTTACAGTCCAAGGATATGGTGTAGGCCATTTAAGATTGAGATGAGGAGAACTGTCTGTACCCAGACCGTGGTGAGCCTGTGGAATTCTCTGTCACAGAAGGTGATTGAGGCCAAAGTATTGAATATTATCAAGAGGAATTAGATATAGTTCTTAGGGCTAAAGGGTTCAAAAGTTATGGGGAGAAAGTGGGAACAGGGGACTGAGTCAGATGATCGGCCATGATCCTATTGAATGGTGGAGCAGTCTCAAAGGGCTGAATGGCCTACTCCTCCTAGTTTCTACCTTTCAAATTCTTAGAACAATATTTAACTTTTTTCACAAGGTGGTGTCTGGGCTACACCAGCCACATTGAGGGATCTGTCGCTTGGAAACCACCCAGAGAAAACCAGCCCCTTACACCTGGACAGGATAGTGGCTATTTCAGCTGAGCATTCTGCTTTAGTTGTAAAAGTGACATTGGGGAATTGGGATTTGCTCAGTGATCCCAAAACCAGCCCTATAAAGCACTTCCCAATGCAATATCCTAACCTTCTCATTCTGTCTACATCTCACACTGTGTTTTGTATGACACTGTCTACCCAGTTAGTCAGTTTCACTGGAATTATCGTTATGTTATTCCATCACGGCCCCCAGTTCAGACCAAATTCTGCATCAATGTGATATATTTTAACCAGCTTTCCCCATTGGGTAGTACTCTCAATTAACTTTGTTTTTTTTTTAATTCTGCAGTCCGATGTGCCAGAAATACTCAGGAATATTTTGCTTCCAGACTATACAAGGCGATGAAGGTAAAGCAGCAAAGGTTTGCCACATTGGAACATAAGCAACGGGAGCAGGAGAAGGCCATTCAGCCCCTTTGAACTGTGCTGCACCAGACAGTAAAACCCTGGCTGATCTTTGATGTTAACCCCAACACCCCTCTGCATGTTCAAAGTTCCTCAGGCTGTCCAAGAGTAATCCCCTCCTTCAGAATTCGCTTCTAAAGGGCAGTTCCTTTAGTTTGTTGCCAATGTTGCAACATAGTGAAAGAACTCAGGAACTTATGAAATCAGTTTTGTTGCCTTTTCCAAGGTTCCTGGCTGACACTTGGCCTTGGCAGGATTGTCCGTCTCGAATTGCCTGGGAGCAGGAGGTGGTAGTGAGCTGCCTTCTTGAACCCCCACAGGCCATTTCATTTAGGTTCATCTTTACTAATGATGTTCTCTTAGTTAAACTGAATGAACTGCTGGGGAGTCTCATCTAGGCCTCCCTGGTTAAGGACAGTGACATGGTTCTCTCAAAGGAAGCGAGTGAATCATAAGGATTTTTATAGCAAGTTTGTAGTTTCACAGCCACACACTGTCTTTGCCTACTTCAGATTTATTTAATTTGAACTCGTGCTCCTGGAGATTAAACCCAATCCTCTCAATTTATTAATACAGTAAATTAGTCAGTAAGCTGAGTGGAAGAAAAAATTCTGCTTAGACAACGTCTTGCAGGACCATAAGAATTCTCAGTGCTTTAAAGCAAATACTAATGCGTAGGCACTATTCCAAAGTAATCAGTTTGCAGACAGGCTCCCAAAAACTGGTCCCCCTCAGCCCCGATCCCCCGACAGTGCGGCGCTCCCTCAGCCCCAACCCCCCAACAGTGCGGCGCTCCCTCAGCCCCAACCCTCCAACAGTGCGGCGCTCCCTTAGCACTGACCCTCCAACGGTACGGCGCTCCCTCAGCACTGCCCTTCCGACCGTGCGGCGCTCCCTCAGCACTGACCCTTCGACAGTGCAGCGCTCCCTCCGTACTGCCCTTCCAACAGTGTGGTGCTCCCTCAGCCCTGACCCTCCGACAGTGCGGCGCTCCCTCAGCACTGACCCTCCGACGGTGTGGCGCTCCCTCAGTACTGCACTGGAGGTGGAACGTGTGTTATTATCTGGTCAAATCTCTGGAGAGCGGTTTAAATCCACAAACTTCTTACTCAGTTGCTCAAACTGAGAAATGTGAGATTGAACAAGATCAGGAATTTAATCTGCCTTGTGTCTTCTCCATCTGAGCAAGGACATGGCTATTAAAGGCTCATGCATCAAACTGTTTGTCGAGTGAACAAAGACGGAAGTATGATTCTGTCTCTCTCCCTCTCCCCTTCCCCTGCCCCTTCCCCCTCCCCTCTCTGTCTCTGTCTCTCTTTCTCACCCCCAACCCCGGTTCCTGTCTGTACAGGGTATGGGGACGAGGGACAACACTCTAATCCGGATCATGATTTCCCGCAGTGAGATCGATATGTTGGACATCAGGGAGGAGTTCCGCATGAAATATGAGAAATCGCTGCACAATATGATAAGGGTGAGTGCCCGTTCGCAGGGCAGCTACAGGCTGAGGTGGGCATATGCTGTCCAAACAGATTCTCCCTGTAGCCCCGTGCCTGGGGCCTGTGACACTGGGTTACGGAGATCAGTCAGAGCTACTGCCCCTGTTTGTCTCTGTGTGTCTGAGTCGATGTGTGTACGTTTCTGTGCACGTGTGTGTTTGTACCTGTGACTGAATGTGTATTTAGGTCCATGAGTGTATCTGGGTATGTGTGAAATGTGAGAATGCGGAGGGAGGTGTGTGTGAGCAGGTGGGCTGGGGGTGGGAGTGGGTGGAGTGGGGGGTGCGTGAGTGCAGAGGGAGGTGTGTGTGAGTGGGTGGGGTG